AATCCATCCTGGACTTCCCAAAACATAATCCGCATTGGAAGGAGATCCCTACTCAAGGATCCCTACTCAAGACAGCACACTCAAGTTCGAGAAACACTAGGGTAGAGCAGAACGTTCCTCAGGGATGCCTCACCGACACCACCAAGGGGACAAGGGCACGGAAGGCGGGGGGTGATAGTGTGCTACCTCCCATCCGTAGGGAAAGAGGGGTGCTCCCAGATGTGTGAACTCCCCGGCCCTGGCAGCTGACCTTGAGAGCCCCCAGCTCACCTGCCTCTGCTCCAGAGAAAGCCTTGGAAAGAATCGGGCAGGTGGGGACACCGGGGTGGCTGAGTTGGAGCCCCACATTGGGCTCCACCCTAACAGCACAGGGCCTGCTTGGGATTCTCTCTGCCTCTTTCTCTGCCCCTCCCCCGCTCGTGTGTGTGTGTGTGTGTGTGTGTGTGTGTGTGTGCGTGCGCGCGCGCGCGCGCGCGCATGTGCGCTCTCTCGCTCTCAAAATAAATAAACTTAAAAAAAAAAAAAAAGAAGGGGCATCTGGGTGGCTCAGTCGGTTGAGCATCCGACTTTGGCTCAGCCCATGATCTCGCGGTTTGTGAGATCGAGCCCCGGGGTCGGGCTCTGTGCCCTCAGTGCAGAGCCTGCTTCGGATCCTGTCGCCCTCTCTCTGCCCCTCCCCTGCTTGCACTCTCTTAAAATAAATATTAAAAAACAAAAAGAATGGGTCAGATGCTTGCCATGCACCCCATGTTCATACCTTCAATGTCCCACAATCCTCAGGTGCCCGTGGCACTGTCTCCATTCCCCGCATGAGGAAACTGAGGCCCAGAGCTGTTGGTGACCTGCCTGACCATACTACTAACATTGACTGTTCATTCCGTGCCAGGCACTGTACAGGGGTTTTACACAGATTATTTTACCTAATCCTCAAGATACTCCCCATATTATCCTCTTTCTGGGTAAAAAAAAAAAAAAAAAGGTTCAGAGAGGTCAAGTGACTTTCTAAGATCACACAGCAAAAGCGTCCTTGCTGGTACCCACTCCCCCCATTCTTTCTCATGGCTCCTATGAGGGCTGCAGTGGGGTGCCCGGCCCCCCATTTTCATGCCCTCCCTGGGCGAGAGCTTGCCCTGGACAGGCCCCCTCTACCTCGCCCCTCCCTTGTGGGAAGAGAAAGCCTCCTTGAAGACAGAGGCAGGTGCTGGGCAGTGAGTAGTGTCATGGGGTTGACTGCAGCTTTGGGTACAGATGTCACCAGGAAAGGTCCCCGTCCCCTTACTCAGTGGGCAGCCACCCGAGGATGCTGGCTTTAGCACCGATCAAAGCCCAGGACTGGTGTGGACACCTTGGGCCCCGTGAGAGCAAGGGAACTCACCCTGCCCCTGCGAGCAAGCCACATCCAGCATCCTGGGACCGCACAGCCTCTGACCAGCCCCTCCTGCCGGGGCTCTAGCTCACAGCCCGCTTCCTGTTGCCATGGGCACTAAAAGCCTGGGATGAAGCCATGATTAGCCACAGCAGGTTGCTGAGTGGGCTGGAGGCCTCTAAGCTGTGCCCAGGGAGACGTGGGGGCTCCCTGCCGGCCTGTAGACTGAGCCGGTCTTCAGGGCTCGTGCCCAGCCCCAGCCCTGAGGCCCAGCATCCCCCTGGTGCCCAGAGTCATGGACTGGGGGGCCCCCCGAGTCAGGAGCAGGAGCTGAGAATACCCTTGCATGGCCTGGCTTGTGCTGCGTGCTCCTTACGCCCTCCACAAGAACATACTGGAGCGGTGGCTGGCCACAGCAGGAGACACACAAAGCTGATTTGAACCCAGCTGCGGCCTGACAAAGCTCAGCTCCTCACGGCCACCCAGAGACCAGGGAGTGAGACACGGAGGCTTGCTGTTCCAAGCCGCTGAGTTTGGGCAGCATGTGTGTGCCCATCTGTTTGTGTTGCTGGAACAGAAGACCATAGATTGATGACTTACCGACAACAGAAACGGATCTCTCGCGGCTCTGGAGGTCGGGAAGTCCAAGATCAAGGCACCAGCACATTCGGTGTCTGGTGAGGGCCTGCTTCCTGGTTCAGAGCTGGCCGTGTCCTCCCACGGTGGGATCTCTCTGAGGGTCTCTCTCGTAAGAGTGTCAGTCCATTCCTGGGGGCTCCACTCTCATGACCTTGTCACCTCCCAGAGGCCCCCCCCCTTATACCATCACAGCGGGGATTAGGTCTCAACATATGAATTTGGGGGGGTGGGTACACATTCGTCCTATAGCAGGGGTTGTTTGTTACACAGCAGTATCACAGCAAAAAGAACGCTGACTCATACGCTATCTCTAAGCGCTCCCTCCAAGAGTATCTTAGAAGTTCAAAGTGCTCCGAGGTGTGCCTGGCACACAGCTAGCTGTATGAGTGCTAAATAGTAAGCACCTTGGGGCGCCTGGGTGGCTCAGTCGGTTAAACAGCCAACTCTTGATTTTGGCTCAAGTCACGGACTCATATTTGACGGGATTGAGCCCCACGTCTGGCTCTGCGGTGTCGCAGAGCCTGCTCGGGATTCTCTGTCTCCCTCTCTCTGGCCCTCCCCCACTCTTTCTCTCTCTCTCAAAATAAATAAATAAAAAGCATTAAAAAATAAAAAAACTTGAGCGCCTGTTGTGAGCTCTGGGAACAGGCTGGTGTATGAGACTGTGTCACTACCTTCTGGAATTTCCTTTATTTTTAAAAAATGTTTATTTATTTATTTTTGAGAGAGAGGGGGAGAGAGAGGGAGCTCGAGCACAAGCAGGGGAGGGGCACAGAGAGACAGAGAGCGAGAATCCCAAGCAGACTCTGCACTGTCCGTGCAGAGCCTGATGCGAGGCTCCATCTCATGAACCGTGAGATCATGACCGGGGCCAAAATCAAGAGTTGGATGCTTCACCCACTGAGCCACCCAGGCACCCCATGGAATTTTATTCTCTAAGGGTCATGTGTCAGGGCGCTGGAGGGTTGGCTGTGGGTACGATCAGCCCCAGCTGGCGGACGGGGGTGCCCGATCACCTGAGAACTTGCACGTCAGTGATTATGACACAGGGAAAGGGTGTCTCTCTCATAGGAGACGGGTGGGACAGACAGGGTGCTGTGGAGCTGGGGCCAGAAAAGACTCCCAGCCGGCAAGGCCCGTCGTAGAGGAGCACCAGACTGCACGGGGCTGGGACCCAGGGACAGGCAGTGCATGAACGCGGTGACAGATTATGCTTTCCCAAAACGGCCCCCATCTCCCATCCCTATGCTCTTCCTGCAATGTGCCTTTGACCTTGTTCCTTCCATCGGAGTGGGGGGCCGGGTGGGGTCCACGGAAGAGGCTCCGATGGCCCGAGCTGCATCTCAGTGCACAGAGGGCCACGTGGGCTTGGGAAGCAGGGCCAGGGAAGGCCACCCCTGGGACCCAAGGCAAAGTGGACGTGCAGGCCCTCGTTCAGCATCCAGGGCAACGCCTGGGTGGCTCAGTCGGTTGACCGTCCGTCCGACTCCGGCTCAGGTCATGATCTCAACGTTCGTGAGTCTGAGCCCCACGTCGGGCTCTGCTCTGACAGCACTGAGCCTGCTTGGGATCCTCTGTTCCCCCCACCCTCTCTCTCAGCAATAAACACTAAGGCAACCAAAAAAGAATTGCAAGGCCGCAGGGCCTTAAAGCAAGCGCGGGCCCTCCTGAGCGCAGCACCGTTGGACTGTGCAGGCTGCACAGCCACTGAGCAGGCCTCGACTGTGGGCCCCCCCTACCCACAGGGGGCGCTCAGCCTTCCAGCGCACCCGGGGTCCTCTGCAAGCCTTGCCTCTGCCAGGGGCCGGGCCAGAAGTGCCGGGTGGTTCTGGAGGGCCCGGCCAGGGCCAAATGGAAGGAGGAGGACACAGACCCCCTTCCTCACCCCTCCGGCGGGGACGGCGCTGAACGGGGCCCAACACCGCCTCCCCAGAGACCCCAGGGGTGACCGGCTCCAGGACCCCCTTGCCGGCTCCTTCCCTTCCCTGCCTCCCTCCTCGTGCAGTACAGAAGGAACCTCCCGGAGAGGTCTGGCCTTTGCCCTGGGCTCCTGGGAGGTGACCTCTAGGCTCTTGGAATGTCCTGCCGATAAGAGTGTCTTTGTTTACCTGGAGCCTTGGGCCGCGAGGAGCAGTCTAACAGTATGATTTACGGTAAGCCTGAGTCACTCCCTACCGGCCTGACCTCCAGAGGGGCTGAAGACTGAGGTCACCACGTGGGCGGCCAGCCAAGTCTACGTGGCCAACCCCCTCCCCCGGTGTAAACCACAGACACCGAGGCTCAGGGTGCTCCGGGGGCTGGCGGGACCCGAGCGTGCGTCATCGTGGTTGCTGGGAGAATCAAAAGCTGTCCACGAGACCTTCCTGTGCTCTCTTCTGGGCCCCACCCTGGTCGGCTCTGCCCTTTGCGGATGGTAATCTGCATTCTTTCACTGTAAGAAACCATAAACACGCCCGTGGTGGCGTTTCTGAGTTCTGCGAGTCCCTCTGGTGAATCACCGAACCCCCGAGTGGTCTCGGAGTCCCCTGCATGGTACCTCCCGCCCCCCTCCCTCCCTGTGTGCTCCCGGATCACCTTGCAAATACACTCTTTTCTCACAAAGCCTCGGCTCAGACGCGGCGCCTTCAGGAGCCCGGCGAGCACAGCAGGCAAACCTGAACCAACAGAAGCCACGCGGTGTCGGGCAGAAGCCAAACACAGGTGTCACCACCAGAACGGGGCAGGACGGGGACACTAACAACTTAACGTCCTTGAGAAAAACGAAACCCGAAACCACTGCCTCCCATCCTAGACGTGCATTATTACCAGGATCCCACGGCTGGCAAGGACGGAGCTGGGCACGTGACTTCGGGGCAGTGAGCAGGTGGAGGGCCCGAGACCATCCTGAGGCCCCTGCGGCCCGCCCCGCCCCGCCCCTCCGCGTGGAGGGATCCTCGGAACCTCTGCACCCGCGTGTGCTTGGTCTCCTCTCCAGCCCAAGCAGCCGGGCTCGCCGATCGTTACAGATGGCCTTTATTTATAATGCAGAAAAGAAATCATAAGCCACTTTTTGGGCTGTTTCGGTAGCTGTAAAACCACATGTACAAAACAGTCACTCCTCTGCAAGGAGTTCTTGAGTGTGTGTGGACCTCCCGCGTGCCCGTCTGCGTGGCCCGGGGCACGGGGAGGGTGAGCGCGTCCTGACGGCCGTCGCCACGGCTCCGGGGGCAGCACGAATGCATGGGCAGTAGAGGTCCGGTCCGCTCAGTGGGGCCTGGGAAACACGGTTCCGGACGCAAGCAGGGCTCCTTCCTTGCTCGTCCTGCGACCTGCCGGGCACCAGGAGCCTTTGTTTTCCCGTCCAGGGGACGCAGCGCATCTGTCCCAGGCAGCCTCGCCCCCAGGGACTTGTGGAGCCGGGGCCGGCTGGAGCAGGAGCCGGGGAGGACGCTCTCCGACCCGTGCCCCTTCCTCAGGCTTCGGGGTCTATGTCTCCGTCCTCTGGGCACGGCCCTGCCTCGTCCAGCCAGACTAGGAGAAAGAGAAGGAATCAGCGTCTGGACAGCCACCCACCGCACGCAGAGCTCCAGGCCCAGTATCTCTGGGCTCCCCCCGCACAGTGGCAGTGGCGGTCAGGATGCCGACGGGGGGCCCCAGTGACACTGGGTCTTGTGGGCCTTCCCCACGCACCCTCCACCCACACCCAACGCAGAGCTCGCCCGGGGCCCTGGCTGAGGTCCCTGGCATTGTACCCTGGGCCCCACCCCCGACTTAGCATCTTTCCGGAGGGGCCTTCAAGCCCAGGGCTGGGCGTGGAGGTCCACACCTCCACGCCGCTGTCCTAGAGAGGGAAGTTGAGGCCCAGAGAGGGGGAGAGCTGCTTCGGGTCAGCCTGTGGAAGCCCGGGGATCTAATCATCACTCAGCCAGCAGCCCCGGAGGAAGTGTTACCCAGGTCTGGTGGTCTCCTCCAGCCCTAAGTGTCACTGGGGAGGGAATATCAACAACACGGCCACCGTGCAGGGCGTGAAATCAGACCCCGACCTTGTCACGAATCCCCCCCAACCTCTGAGGCACCATTTTACAGATGGGGAAACTGAGGCTCGGGGACGTAGAGCCTCTTGCTGACGGTCACAAGGTGACAGGCCACAGAGCAGGGGTTCGAATTCAGGGTTTTCCGACCCCGAGGTCTGTGCCCTTGATCCCCTGCCTCCGTTCTCTGCAAGGGGAAACGCGGAGGCACGGGGTCTGAGAGATAGGACAGGAGGGTGCCCCCCTGGCAGTCTCTGCACTGATCTGTCCCCGGAGCTGCTTAAGCTTAAAGGGGACTCTCCTGCGAGCTCAGGGCCTCTGACCTCATAAAGTAACCCTAAGTCTCCCCACACCCACATTGGCTCTGGGGGCCAGGAAGGTGGTTGCGAACCCATTTTACAGATGAGGACACCAAGGCTGGCAGGGAAGAATGCCTAACGTCAGCCCGCACAGAGCTCTCTGGACACTGGAGCAGGAGCCTGGGTCTTCTCCCACCTTGCTGTGTGCCCCTGGGTGAGTCACTGCCCCACTCTGGACCTCAGTTTCCCCATCTGTGAACTAGAGATAAGGGTGTTACTCATGAGCCTCAGGGTTGGAAGGAGAAGGAGACATTATGAGAAGCATTCAGCCCGGTGCCTGGCACTTGGGAAGGGGACACAGGAATGTGACCCAGTGTGAGTCATTACTGAGAATGGCCCAGCCGCAGTCCCTGCACAGGGCTTGACCCAGAGGGGGCCCAGTGGCTTCTTCCGGATCCTCTAACCCTGGTGGGCAAGCTGAGATCCAAGCTTAGCCCTTCTGGAAAAGTCTATCCAAGCCCCCATGCCAGACTTCGCCAGCCCCACGTCAGCCTTGTGTCTGTGTCCCCTGCAGGAGCCATCAGGCGGGACTGATGTCATGATGGCTGGTTGGCTGAATGATGCTAGCCGCTGACTGGGAGGGCGCCTGGCCTGGGGCCCACAGAGCGAGCTCCGGACCACACCGCTGGGTCTGAATCCCAACCCTGCCGCTTACCAGCTATATGGCCAATGTCTCACCCTCTCTGGACCTCAGTTTCCCCATCTGTTAAACGGGGACGAGACCGGGACCTAACCCAGAGTTACCCTGAGGACTCCACAAGAAAGTGTGCTTACTGCTAACGTCATCATTATTTTTTATTACTGTCATTCATGACAGCAGCCTCAGCACTTAGGGCGGGCGTGGCTCGGTAAATCTCTTCGATGAACAAATGAACAAGTGGTCCCACCGGCTCCAACAGTGTCCACAGAGGGGCAGGCGGGGACACCGGTCCGCGTCTCTCTCTGGGAACAAGTCTCTCTCCTTGACCCCCCCCCCCCCGCAGCGAGCTGCATCTAGAAGGCCCGGAGACGGGCTCAGCCCAGACACGGTCTGTCCTGTCCACTGATCGGCTGTGGCCAGCAAGACAGAGCACCCGTCCCCAGCTGGCAGGGGAAGGCACAGCCATCCATTACCTTGCTGGGCTCCCCCAGCCCCATCCATCACTCGCCCCGGCTGCCGGCAGGGGCTGTCTAGCTAATTACTTAATATGCCACATCTTGCTGAGGCTGGTACACGCGAGGGGCCCACGGTGGAACGGACGCAGATTCAAGCATACATTTTTAACAAACCCCGGGCAGGTGGGGACGTGAGCTCAGACCCACGGCACACGAGGGGCGGGGGGGGGGGGCCGGGAGCGGTCCCCAGCCAGGCCCCCCAGACACGCTCGGCAGTGGTGGTAGGGCGGCCTCACCTGTCTGCCCGGAGTCCCGCGGCAGCATCATGCCCGTGGGGGTCGGGGGGGTGATGATGATGTTGGGCACGTCCAGGTGCTTGTCGCTCAGGACGGGGGCCTCGTCATGGCTGCTGCTGCTGCTGCTGCCACACATTTTAAAGCCTGAGAGGGCAGGCCGTGGGACGCACACGTACACACACGACAGGGAGACAAGCATCAGTGGCCGCCGGGAGCCCCCGGCTGCGGGCTGCCTGCCTGCCTCCCTCCCTCACCGCCGCCTCTCAGCAAGGAGGGGACGCTGAGGCACAGGGCAGTTCAACGGCCCCTCCAAGCTTGCGTCGTCCAGGGAGGGCACTGAGTTTCGCCTGCTTCGTTCACTAACATGGCTCGGGTGCCCGGAGCAACGTCTGATACCCAGAAGCCCCCGGAACACGGCTCTAAAGTGGGACACGGAGCGCAGCATGAACCAGAACCGGCCCGTCTGCTGCGCGGAAGGAGCCCCTCACGTGGCCACTCCTCCCCCACATCCCCTTCTGGAAGGGCGTCTGGGAGATGCCCAAGTTCTCCCTCACGCATCTGACTGGATTCCCCAGGGGAACCGTCCGGGTCTGGAATCTTCTCTGTGCAAAGATTTTATGATTAGGAATTTGGGGTCTTCAATAGACACGGGGCTAGTCAGGTTTTCTGTTTCTTCCTGTGTCAGTTCAGCTGAGCTGGGCTTTCCCGGGAGGAATCTGTCCATTTCTTCTACTGTTGGTGGATTCCTTGCTCTGTGGCTGCTACTAAGTACCCACGTCACCCATGCCACACCCTTGCTCCGTCCTTCCCGTCCGAGTTAGGGGACCCTGACTCTCTCCTCTCCCTCAACGTCCCAGCCAACCTAACCCATCACAAGCCCGCAGATGCCATCATCCCTTGGCGGCTTTGCTGTCCTTCTCTCTCCCTCCTCAAGCCCCTAACTAGCCTCTCTGCCAGAAACCGCGAACCTGATCATACCGCATACCTGCGAAACCCTCGCGGCCTCTTGACAACTAGCTACAAGCAGTTCTCAAAGCGTGTTCCCTGGAACACTGGCCTCCCGGGGTTCCACGATCAAATGGGTTTGAGAATAGCACATATTTGAATGTTGACTGGACCCCACCTAATCTATCTTTCTCTTGGGGATTCTCGTGCATGTTAGAGAATTAAAGGCTCTGAGAAGTCCTGCAGTAGGGAAGCAGCTCTTTAATTGTGTTTCACCCTGGGCTTCCTGAATTTAAGTAATCTTGGGGTCTGTTTTTGGAGGAACGCCTGTTGCCATCTCACAGAACTGTGAATCGTGAAATACATGTTGGGAGATATTGATCATGAATTGCAGCCAACCCCCCAGCCCAGCTTTCAGCCTTCATGATCTGGCGCAAACGACCCGCAGCCTCATTCCCCGCCACCGGTCCACACTTCCGATACTGCTCACAGCTCCCCAAAACCCTGGGCTCCCGACCCAATTCCTGCCTGGAATGTTCTTTCTTTCTTTACCAGGGGAATGGACTCCTACCCAGCCTTCAGAGCCCAGCACACTGGGCTCTTCTTTGGGGAAGATGTCCCAGCAAATGCGGTCCCTCCCTCCTTTGTCCGTCTACACGGATTCACTCCTCAACCTTCTTCCAGCACTGATCAGACTGTATTGAGACACTAGTTCTTAATTCTGTCTCCCTTTACCGTGAGCGTCTGGAGGGCAGCCAGTGACTCCCTCCTCTGTGATTCCCTTGGGCCCGGCATAGCACCTGGGAGAGAGCAAGCAGACTGCTTCACATTGTGAATGCGAAAGGACCTCAGGCACCACCGAACTGGGTGTGAAAATCCTGGTCTCCGGGCCCCTCCCCTTTGGTTTCACCCCAAACAGCCTCCAACTGGGATGACATTTGCTCAGGCATCTTGGGCCCGGGCCACGGCAGCAGCTGAGGAAACGTGGTCCTCGACGGCCCCTGTGGGGCCAGGGCGTGGCTCTGAGGCATGTCCCTAAGAGGTGGCGTCTAATTCACCTCCCCTTTGGGGTGCAGGGTCTTAGCAAGGCTTCCAGCACACGGAATATGATGGAAGGCCTGGGTGGGGCTTCCAAGATGAGGTCACAAAGGACGCCAACTTGCTCCTTGCCTCCCGCTCTGGGGGAAGCCGGCCGCCACGCTGCGAGGACCAGTTGGGGGAGAGCCCGTGCGGTGAGGAACGGGGCCTCCTTTCTACCAGGAAAAAAGGGTCCTCCAGCCCAGTCGAGCCTTTGGATGACACCGCAGCCCTGGCTGCCAGCTTAAACGTCGCCCCACAAGAGACCCGGGGCCAGAAGCTCCCACTAGGTCATTCCTGAATTCCCAAGCCACAGACGCTGCGACATAATGCCTAAGCCACTGAGTGTGAGGGCAGTTTGTTGCACAGGATTGGAAACGGATACAGTCCACATAGCCTGCCCCGACCATAGGAGGAAGGGGCAGCAGGTGCACGGTGGGAACAGCCAGACCCTCTGTGTTGTGGGAAAACCACAAGGGGCTTCTGAGGGCGGCCTCTGGTCACCTAAGGGGTGTTCCTCTGATGGGCGGCTCGTGCCTGGTCTGTCAGAGACAGTCTGTCCAAATCCGCAAAAGCATGAACGTCAGATGACCGGAAGCAATGGAATGAGGCCGAATTCTTGGCCCATCTGCAGTGGGGCCTGGGCTCTGTGCTCAGAAGAGCTGCCCGTGGCCGGCACAGTGGCGAAGGCACGGGCTCTGAGCTGGGCCGGCTGCTCACTGGCGGTGCGACCCTGGGCAAATCACATCTCCTCTCCGGGCCTCTGTGTGGTGAAGAATTTACCCGTGCCCCAAAAGAGGTCCGGCCTCTGTTCTCGGCTTCCGGGAGGTGATCTCTAAGGCCCTGGGATGCCAGGCCTGGCGGGAGAGCCTTTGTGTGTCTGGGGACCCTGGGCACATTGGAGAGTCCAGCCACACGGGCTTTGGGTGACGCCCAGAGGGACTGGAGACAGACCCGCCACATGGGCAATCAACTGAGCCTCTGCAATGGGGTTCAATGTACTCGTGACCTCTGCTGTGACAAAGCACCACGGACCGTGGGGCTCCAACAACAGAACTTGACTCTCCCCCAGTCTGGGCACCGGAGGTCCGAGACCCAGGGGCCAGCAGGGCTGGCTCCTTGAGAGGCCACGAGGGAGACCGTGTCCCAGGCCTCTTCCCCAGCTCTCAGTGGTTTGCGGACAACCTCTGGCGTTCTTTGACTCACAGACACATCACCCCGGTTTCCGCCTTCTTCTTTACACGGCTTCTCCCTGTGTCTGTGTCCAAATTTCCCTTTTTGTAAGGACACGAGTCATACTGGAGCATAATCCGTAATTATCCACATTGGATCATCGCCCAATCCAGTATGACCTGTTTTTAACTTTACGTCTGCAACGACCCCGTTTCCACATGAGGTCATGTTCTAGGGTACTGTGGGCTAGGACTCCCATAAGTGAATCGGGGGGTTGGGGGGGGGACCGCGATTCAACCCGGAACACCCACTAAAAACTCTGAACACTGAGGCTCAGGAGATCCTCGCCGATCGGCACCACTCCGTGTGTGTGAGCGTGCGTGTGCGTGTCGCACGTGTGTACCAAGAAGGTAACGCCTCTGTGATCCCGTGGGCAGAGACAAGGAGAGCTCCGTCTGGAACTTTCCTGGACTCCACCCTATGCACCGCCTCACTTGGCCGACTCGAATCTGTGTCCCTTCCCTGTAATAAACCATAACCACGAGTACAAGACCTTTCCGTGAGTTCTGTTCTTCTGGGGAACGATCGAACCCCTGAACCTGCAGCTGGTGCCAGAAGTGAGGGTGTCCTGTGGACTGTGTTCCCTCTGACTTCCTGTTTTCGCTGACAAAGTGGGGTGGTCGGATCCCGCTCCGCGGGCTGGGGCGAGGCTGTCCTGGCACACGGCCTGCTCCCAGCGGCAGCCTTCCCGCCCCACACGGCTTCCTTCTTCACTCACACCAAACTCACAGCCGCAGGGACGCCCCAGGCCCCTCCCCATCCTGAACCCTGATCCTATTTCCTCCCTGGGGTGGTGCCGTGCCCCCCTCTTCCGGCTCTGCCAGGCCAGTTATTCTGCAGGTGGAGACCGTATCTCCCCACCAGACTACGAGTCCCTGGGGAGCACCGACCAAGGCTGCTGCCAACCTGATCTAAAGCCGTGCTTTGCAAGCCTCCCTTAAAGCAGCACAAGCCGGGATGTAAAACAGACAAAAGGAAGCCTCCAGGAGGAGGCCCTCCTGTAATCACCGGTAATCACTGACATTCACAGGTTACTTGCTGCGTGCCAGACTGTCTCCTTCGGTCTTCACTGCTCCCCCGCGAGGTGCCAAGTCTAACCAGCCCCATTTCACAGACGTGGAGACTGAGGACCAGAGAGGGGAAGAAGAACCTGCATTCAGTTGAACAGCTAGCGTGTGGTACAGCCAGGATCCCAACCCAAAGCCAATCTGCCTGACTGCAAGACCGGGTGCTTCTTGTAATTCAATACAATGTAGCTGGCAAACTTTCTGCACAGGGCCAGACCGTACATATATTTCTCGCTCCGGGGCTATGCAGTCTGTGTTGCAACTGCTTAACCTTGCCATCAGCACAGGAGAGCTGCCGCTGACAGGGTGCAAATGAATGAGTGCGGCTGTGTTTCAATAAAACTTTATTTGCAAAAACGGGAAGCGTGCTGGGTTTGGCTGTGGTTCGCCAGTCCCTGCCTTGTGCCATCCAGAAGTCAGGGAGTTTGGATCTGGAACGCGCCTGAGGTCCTAATAGGCAGTAACAGAACCTCAAAAGCCTGAGGCTGGTTGATGCCGAAAACAAGAAGGAAATCCCAAACCTGGCTGCTGTCCTATAGGGACAGCGCCTACCTCTGAGGGGTGTGGGGGTGGAGAAAATGAATGAATTCACGTAAAGCGCTTGCCCAGAGAGCCGGGGGGGGCCTACAGTGTGCCCCATCCCTGTTAGCTTTCTCTATAATCATCCATAAAAAGCGTCTCATGGGGTGCTGGCAACAAAAGGAGGCTCTGATTATTGTTATCTGTAACAGGAGGGAGCCTCCCTGCTCTGTCTTCAAGGCCCCTTCCTCGGAGAATATTCCCAAGTTCTAAAATAAAAT